AACTAAATTATAATTATGGATACATGTTTGAATTCTTCGACGTATTTTACATAAAAAAGGTACTCTTAGTTGAAAGGGCTAACACCAACCGTTCTTGAGATAAAAATGATTTTGTGCGAAAAAACACTAAAAACGGCAATAATCGAGGATGTCTTCATATTGAACCCAATAACATCTACGCCAATGATTATTTAATAAATTTAAGATTATTTTTGAATTCTTTGAAGTATTTTACGTCAAAAAAGTTGTTTTCATTTCTATTTTGTCGCAAAGCATTTTCGAGATAAAGCAGATTTTGTAATAAAAACCCCAAAAACAACAAACATTAAAAATATCTTTATTCTTTAATTTGTAACATCTACGTCTTTGGCTAAATTATAATTACGCATACATTTTTGAATTCCTCGACGTATTTTACATAAAAAAGGTACTCTTAGTTGAAAGGGCTAACACCAACCGTTCGTGAGATAAAAATGATTTTATGCGAAAAAACACTGAAAACGACAATAATCGACGATATCTTCATATTGAAGCCAATAACATCTACGACAATGACTATTTAATAAATTTGAGATTATTTTTGAATTCCTTGAAGTATTTTACGTCAAAAAAGTTGTTTTCATTTCTATTCTGTCACAAAGAATTCTCGAGATAAAGAAGATTTTGTGATAAAAACCCCAAAAACAACAAAAATTAAAGATATCTTCATTCTTTAACCTGTAACATCTGCATCATTGACTAAATTATAATTATGGATACATTTTTGAATTCTTCGACGTATTTTACATAAAAAAGGTACTGTTAGTTGAAAGTGCTAACACCAACCGTTCATTAGGTAAAAATGATTTTGTAGGATAAAACACTAAAAACGACAATAATCGACGATATCTTCATATTGAACCCAATAACATCTACGCCAATGACTATTTAATAAATTTGATATTATTTTTGAATTCTTTGAAGTATTTTACGTCAAAAAAGTTGTTTTCATTTCTATTCTGTCACAAAGAATTCTCGAGATAAAGAAGATTTTGTAATAAAAACCCCAAAAACAACAAACATTAAAAATATCTTCATTCTTTAACTTGTAACATCTACGTCTTTGGCTAAATTATAATTATGCATACATTTTTGAATTCCTCGACGTATTTTACATAAAAAAGGTACTCTTAGTTGAAAGGGCTAACACCAACTGTTCTTGAGATAAAAATGATTTTGTGCGAAAAAACACTAAAAACGACAATAATCGAGGATATCTTCATATTGAACCCAATAACATCTACGCCAATGACTATTTAATAAATTTGAGGTTATTTTTGAATTCCTTGAAGTATTTTACGTCAAAAAAGTTGTTTTCATTTCTATTCTGTCACAAAGAATTCTCGAGATAAAGAAGATTTTGTGATAGAAACCCCAAAAACAACAAAAATTAAAGATATCTTCATTCTTTAACCTGCAACATCTGCATCATTGACTAAATTATAATTATGGATACATTTTTGAATTCTTCGAAGTATTTTACATAAAAAAGTACTCTTTGTTGAAAGGGCTAATACCAACTATTCTTGAGATAAAAATGATTTTGTACGAAAAAGCACTAAAAACGACAATAATCGAGGATATCTTCATATCGAACCCAATAACATCTACGCCAATGACTATTTAATAAATTTGAGATTATTTTTTAAATTCCTTGAAGTATTTTACGTCACAAAAGTTGTTTTCATTTCTATTCTATCACATAGAATTCTCGAGATAAAGAAGATTTTGTGATAAAAACCCCAAAAACAACGAAAATTAAAGATATCTTCATTCTTTAAACTGTAACATCTGCATCATTGACTAAATTATAATTATGGATACATTTTTGAATTCTTCGACGTATTTTACATAAAAAAGGTACTGTTAGTTGAAAGTGCTAACACCAACCGTTCTTGAGATAAAAATGATTTTGTACCAAAAAACATTAAAAGCGACAATAATCGAGGATATCTTCATATTGAACCCAATAACATCTACGCCAATGACTATTTAATAAATTTGATATTATTTTTGAATTCTTTGAAGTATTTTACGTCAAAAAAGTTGTTTTCATTTCTATTCTATCACAAAGAATTCTCGAGATAAAGAAGATTTTGTGATAAAAACCCCAAAAACAACAAAAATTAAAGATATCTTCATTCTTTAACCTGTAACATCTACGTCATTGACTAAATTACAATAAAGGGCACATTTTTGAATTCCTCGACGTATTTTACATAAGAAAGGTGCTCTTAGTTGAAAGTGCTAACACCAACAGTTCTTGAGATAAAAATGGTTTTTGCACTTATATTTCTTTAACAAAGCAAATGCTGCTCCCTCGGCCGCAAGCGACCTCGGCTACTATTTCTTTAATAATATAGGTCAGCGTTTTCAAAGGTGTAGTTAATTTTTTTTAGATATTTTTTTTACATAAGTTAGTGTTTAACTTATGTGGAAAAGTGACAAAGTGTGTATTTGTACTCTTTCATAAAAATGAATCATAAAAACCTCGACCCTTTACCGAATTATGTAAGGAAGTGTAATTCACGATGGCTTTCAAAAGGAAACGTTTTAAAACGTCTGTTTCAGCTAAAAGCCGAAGCTTTGTTATTTCTGAGTGAACACCCACCATCTAAAAAAGATGCTATTTTTCCATTTAACGATAGATTCCACAATTTCGAGTAGTTAATAAAAGTAGCTAAAACTAGTGCAATGAATCTAATTTAAATTTGCAAGACTTGGGTTAAATATTTTCAAAGTATCGGAAAAAGTCGCTGCAAAAATTAAATAAATGACTGTCTGAAAACAAAGACTTTCAAGAGAAAATTTTAAATCTTTTGAAACATTACATAAGTTTATTGAAACCCATGCAAACTATGATGAAGGAGATTTACATCTAGAAACACTATTAGTTTCAATTCAAGAACACCTTTCGGAGCTAATAAATAGTCTTAAAGACTATATTTCAGGATATTTCTTCAAATAATATGTAGATTAAAGATCTTTTTTTTCTGTCGAAAGTAAACAAGAAGTTGATAATTTAATTGAAATTTCATGCGACACCGATCTGAAAAAAGTGTTGAAACTGTTAATTAATTTTTGTTGCTCTATCAAAAGGAGTATCCAAGCGTAAGCGAAATAGCGATACAGTTTTTAATGCCATTTGTCACCACTTCATACATATATGCAGCTGCGTTCCCACCCTTCATGTACTTAAAAAATAACTATCGAAACAGATTGGATGTAGAAGCTAATTTGAGAATAAAGCTAACATCATTACCTCGTAATTTGAATTTGTTATGTGATGACAAACAACTTCATTCTTCGTACTAAGCACAAAATATGTGGAAACAAACTTTACTTCATTTACTAAAGTTTTAAATAAATATTATTGTTAATTTTTTAATTATTATATTTTTCTTATGCAAGGTATTCCTGTAAGTCGTGGCATAATTTTAATCACAAATACTAGAGTTAAAATGATGATGATTTGTGTAAACATTTTTGGTCTAAACCCATAAATGGCTAAGATATGGGCTCTCAAAGTTTAGAAATTTTTGAACATTTTCTTAAATATTTTCAATATGGTTTTTGTCTTACAAAGATAAAATTTTGTAAACAGTGTAATTTTATCATGAAAAATCGTTTAAGGTCACCTTCAATCAATGCTATATAGGTGTTCACAAAAGTTATTCCCTTAAAACTTTTTTATTATGTCATAAACCCTTAAATTTGATTCTAAAAGCCTATTTTATTTTAAAATAATTTTTGCTCTTAGAAATTTTTGTTTAGACGCATCGTTTTCGAGTTATTCGCAAAAAGATACAACCTCAATTATGAAATGATTTCATTAATCGTAGGTGCCTATAAAAACAAATTGAAACTGAAGCAGTAAAGCAACTGTCAAATCATTACCCAACATTCATCAGTTGGTAATAGTTGTTTAAAATGACAAATAATTACAGTTTTAGTGAGCAAATTGACATGCTTTTAACGTTGGGAGAATGTTTAGGCAGTGCTAAGGCAGTGGTGGGATGATATTGCAAATAACTGATGATACTGTTGATATCAACAGTTCGGACATTTCGGAATATCCAAAGGTACTGCTTCGCGTGTGCCACACGAACAGCAATTGTATCCAGACCACTTGTCGACAATACAAGAATTAAAAATTGTTGATCATCCGTTGGGAGCACAATTTTGTCATAATAAAACATAATAAAATTTATGTTTTATGAATTTATGGAAATAACATTTGGGGACACCTGTATAGCATTGATCCCGTGGTTGCATACCTTCAAAAGTTATCTTCAACAGAAAGTTACACTTTAATGAAATACATTTTAGCGCCTCGGTTGCAAGTGACCTCAGTTATTATGTTTGTACCGATGTAGATTGTAGTACCTACGCTAATATCTCTTTAACATTGTAAGTTCTACTGCCTCAGCCGCAAACGACCTCGGCTACTATTTCTGTAACGGTGCACATTGTAGGATTTACGCTAATATTTCTTTAACAAAGCAGATACTACTACCTCCGCCGCAAGCGACCTCGGCTACTATTTCTTTAACGGTGTAGATTGTAATAGTTATATCTAATATCTTTTTAAACTAGTAAATTCTACTGCCTCGGTCGCAAACGACCTTGGCTACTATTTCTTTAATGCTGCAAACTGTAGGATTTACCCTAATATTTCTTTAACAAAGCAGATGCTACTACCTCGGCTGCAAGCGACCTCTGCTACTATTTCTTTAACGGTATAGATTGTAGTAGCTATACTAATATCTAGAGACCGGATAAAAAAGTGTAAAAAAACTGGAAAAAAAGTGCTTAAAAAAGCATGAAAATCTTAAACAAAAAGTTCTTAAAAGGCACACAATCTGTTAAAAAAGCATAGAATAAACAAAATTAAGCAAAAAACGATAATAGAGAAAAAATAAATAAAAATTTGAAATGATGATAATAATATATTTAATATTTATATTTTACAATTTATTGCGTTTACATAATGAATATCTATCTGTTATTATACAATGCTTAAAAGATTTCTTAATTAATGCTTAAAAGAATGAATAACTAAATGTTTCTCCAAGTTTTCCATGCTAAAATTATGTCTCCTGTCTGTTAGAATGTTTTTGTATGTAGAAAAACTACGTTCAACATCTACACTTGTTATTGGTGCATATTTAAATTTTGGTATAATCGCTGGATCTATTTCAAAATCGCAATGTTCCGCACCATTTAAAATAGTAGATATTTTGTACAATGTCTGGAATCCTTCATTCTTTGAGAGAGTTTGAATCACTTTTTCTTTTACTATTTGACCAATAGATCCTGGGACACTATTTGCTGCCGCTTCAAAATTTTTTATAATATTTACGGATTCTACTAAGGGTAGCTGCTGTTTTTCTAAAAATTGAATACACTGACTTACAAATTTAAAATGACTTTTAATAAAAGCCAATTGTTGTGCAAGTTCGGGTATTTTTAGAACTCTCTGACATTCTTCAATAGATTTGCTTTCTGTACTTTGAAATTCAAGTATTATGCCTTGAAATTCTTTAAAATGATCGGCATAGTACATGGCAGCATCTAGCCAAGTTCCCCATCTTGTTAAAACTGGTGCTGGGGGTAGAGGAATGTCAGGCAATGTCTCTTTAAACAATTGCACTCTCAATGGAGCTTTCATAAATATTTGTTTACCATTTTTTATTAGTGTATTTACCATCGGATACTGCAATCTTATAGTTTCAGCTATGCGGTTGAGTCCATGAGCTAAACAGGTGCAATGTATTAAATTGTAATAGAAAATTTTTATATTTGACGCAGCTTTTATCATGTAAGCTGCAGCGTCGGAAAGCATTAATAACATTTTTTCATTTGGAACTGCCTCGGGCAAAAAAATCTTGTTTAACTCGTCGTGAACAAATCTAGAAATCGTATTACTATTCGTTTTTGTTAATTCTTTTGAACTTATTAAAAAACCCTCTGTTACAACATCTTCATTCAAAACTCCTATAATAAGGTTGGCTACATATCTCCCACACGTATCAGTAGTTTCATCTACTGCGAACCATATATAGTTATTTGCAATATATTTTTTAATTTGTTGCATAGTTTCATCATAAACTGGGGCGACATAGTTCTTCCGGAGTGTGCTTTCATCTGGGATATTTTTTTGCAATATTTCTCTAGAAATTCTCTAAAAGACCTACTTTGTAATTTATTCAAGGGAATATCTGATTTAATCATAGCACTACACAAATCAAAATTAAAGTGTTTTTGTTCATTGAAACCAGAAGTTGAAGCTATTGAAGTCGAAATAGTGTGTTGCTTATTTTTATTTTCCTCGATTTTTTTAATGTGCTCCTTATGCCGGTCAGTTTTCAAATGTTGAGTAATATCATATTTTTTGTTACAGACGATCTGCAATAAAGTAAGCGAGTAGTTTATTAAAACTAAAGTCCATACGACGTAAGGTTATGTTCTTGATTAAAACATATTTTGTTAAGGATTTTATTCACATTTTAAAGACATTAAGAACGCCCCGTAAGAGCCATCAAAATAAAATGACGTTTTAAACAGTTAAGAAAAGACGAAGTAATGTTGAATTCGCAAATTTGTACTTACAGTTTTAGAACATGCTTGACAAAAAATCTTTTTATTGTCAATTTTCAATTCTTTGTGGCCTCTAATCCACTCTTCTACGGTTGATTTATATTTTGGCATTTTGCAAATAAGTACCACGCACAGCTTCACATAACAGAACACCGCGAAGCTAACTACATACGTGTTAGAATACGACACAATATAACGTAAACAGAGATATCGGAAACTTCGGGGTATCACGCGACTCTTTTCACAGTTGCCAATTTTACTCTATGTACACGTTTTTACGCGTATATTGTTTTATATTATATTGTATTATTCTTAAAAATGATATAAACATGCATAAAAAGTTAAAAAAAGCACGAAATAAAAAAAAAGCATAAAATCTCAAAAAAAGCAAAAAAAGCATTAAAGAATATGTCGCAACATACTTAATTTTGCGTAATTCGTCTAGAAACTTAATATCTCATATTTGCTTATAAAATTGAGCAATAAGCATAATGCTTAAAATCCGGTCTCTACTAATATCTCATTAAACAAGTAAATTCTACTGCCTCGGCTGCAAGCGACTTCAGCTACTGTTTCTTTAACGGTGCAGATTGTAATATTTACATTAATATTCCTTTAACAAAGCAGATGCTAGTGCCTCGGCCGTAAGCGACCTCGGCAGCATTTCTTTACCAATATAGATTGTAGTAGCTACGCTAGCATCCAATTAACAAAGCAGATACTACTATCTCGGCCGCAAGCGACCTCGGCTAATATTTCTTTAACGGTGTAGATTGTAATAGTTATTCTAATATCTCTTTAAACAAGTAAATTCTACTGCTTCGGTCGGAAACGACCTTGGCTACTACTTCTTTAATGCTGCAAACTGTAGGATTTACCCTAATATTTCTTTAACAAAGCAGATGTTACTACCTCGGCTGCAGGCGACCTTTGCTACTGTTTCTTTAACGGTGCAGATAGTAATATTTACGCTAATATTCTTTTAACAAAGCAGATGCTACTGCCTCGGCCGCAAGCGACCTCGGCAGCATCTTTACCGATATAGATTGTAGTAGCTACGCTAGCATCCCCTTAACAAAGTAGACCTCGGCTACTATTTCTTTAATGGTGTTGATTTATGGTGCTCATCTCGCTATCGGATGTTAACAAGAAGCCGTTACTCCAACAGTACCATTGGAGAAGAAAATTTAAATTTAAAAGTGATTACGTTTTTATTCTTTCCTTTCATGATAATTNCTCATTTTCTTTAAATAATAAATATAAAACTACTAGATAAATAAGATATTTTATTTATTTATGAGTTAAAAAGCAACTGACAAAAAAAATAGTTCAATATACCAAAGAAGTTTATTCTACATTACTAATTGACGTTTTTTATGTATTATATTAATTTTCAATATTAAATTTATTTTTATTCTACGTAGTGTTGGCAAAAATGAAAGTCAATATACCTTTCGTATGTAATATTTATTTTAGGCTTAAAGTATTTATCAAATTTTTCTATTATATTCTCTAGTGTTTTTTCTTTTTCATCTAATTCAAATGTTTGGTAAATGTCCATACCTTGTTCTCCTACTGTATGCAGAAATAGTGCTACATTTTTCTTCTCTTTCATATCTTCTTCACCGAACGCTATCAAACAATTTTCAAATCCTCTTCTGAATTTCTCCCAGTTAGTAGATAGATTTCCTTCGTATTTCATCATAGCCAGGTTTCTTTCCATTTTTTTTTTTTACTTTATTTATTATTTTCACTTTATTTATTATTCTTGCGCACGATCCTCGTTTTACCGCTTCAGTAAATTTTTATTATTTATATATAAACTATATTACTTTCTTTTGTTTCCGCTGCCACCATGTTGATGTAAACTCCTTCGTGTAAGGTTTAGAACTGAACTTTATTTTAAATCGACTTGAAGGTATATACACAAATATAACAATGTCCACAACGAGTAAAATGTATTTAATTTTCAATCAGCACGACATATGTTTCGCTTATTAAGCGTCTTCAGGTGCGACTACAAAGTAGTAAAAACATTAACAAATGTAACATAAATCTAAGAACACTGAATCTTACCGTTAATTACATTATATGAAAATACGACATCGAATAAATCCTGCAACGTGTTAAACTACGTGAAGTAAAGGCTCGTACAGACACGTTTAGTAATTTAGTCGAGTAGCCACTTACAAGCGTCTCTCACGCGAGTCCTCGACCGGCCCAGGGTAGAAGAGAGGGTTATTTATTAGGCGCCACAAAGTTGCTCTCGCTCACTGTGACGTGTGATGTTAAGAAGGGATGGAAACGTAACACAACACAACAGAACGGTGAAATAGAATGTTGCAATAACTTTAAAAAAAAAATAATCATAAAAGAAAACAATGACAATAAAGGTAAGACAAAATGAATATATTATGAAATAATAAAAAAAAATATAATATAATAAAGTAAACAAAACCTAGTATTGATCTTTTTTTTTTTTAGGTTAACTCGATGTATGCAAAAATATAAAGAACAAGAAAAAGAAAAATTATCAATGTTAGCGAGAAAATAAATTAAAAGAAAACTCTACCAGAAGCAAATCAAATAAAAATAAAACTGACCAAATTAAAAGAAATTAAATCACGCCTCGACCCCGTACAATTGAGCTCAATATAAAGTCGGTAAATATTTATGAAAATAATATATATCGTAAAAAAAAAGAAACAAAACTTAACCTCGCCAACAGACTTACAAAGATATATATATATATGTATAAAAATGATTAATCCCAAACATATGGATTTAGAAAAATCACGAAATACTCCAAAAATGGCGACCACACCAAAAATTTCTTAACTCACTGGTGATTAAGTCTTCCAAATCTATTTTTGAAAAGAGATCGAGGAGACCTTTGAACACACTTTTATAAGAATAGGGTTCAAAAAAAATACACCTGCGCAGAATGAAGTCAACACCCTCTCAACATGTAAGAAATAAACTCGAACAATTAGGTAACTGCCGAAAGAACAAGAAAGAAAAATTTAGGGATACTGCTGTAAAAAAATAAATATTAAAAATAAACAAATGTAAAAAAATAATGTAATAATTAATGAACCTTTATTAATCCTAATCAAAATCCCGAAGTTATGCAACTCAAAACTCTATGTGTTGCCTCATAACAAAAGGACAAATTAAAATTTTGACATGTAAAGGCCCCTACAGACGCTCCGACTTATCCGACGACTTGCCTGCGCAGTTCCGGTTTGCGCAGGCAAGTCCTAGTAATTTTTCGCGATTCAGGCGGCCTGTGCAGGCGGATGACCTGGCCTGTGCTAAATCCGTCTTGTTTGATATTTTTATAAAACTGTGCAGGCAAGTTCGTACGTGTGTAGGCAGGCTCAGTCCGTTACCTCAGTTTTTGTCGTAAAGTAACTAGTTAAAATACTTAACTTAACCTATAAAGTGAATATACTTAGTTTTCTTTACGTAAATTTACAAAATGGAAACCAGAAGTATGTCAAAAGACATTTTATTGAGTTTCATCGAACATTACAAAAACTTTCCATGCCTTTGGAAAGTGAAATCCAAAGAATATAGTGATAACCATAAAAAATCTGCGGCATACGATGTGTTGGCCAACAAAATGCAGGAAGTAGATCCAAACACCACAAGAGAAAGTAGTAAAAAAAGTAAATAAGCTGCGCAGTGCTTACAGAAAGGAAATGAAAAAGGTAATAGCCAGTAAACGTAGCGGTGCTGGTGAGGATGAAGTATATATTCCTAATATATTACGAATATTTAACATTCCTCGCCGATCAAGAGGTTCCAAGATCTTCCTGCAGTAATGTTGATACACCACTAGAAGATTCAGAAGATATATCTGAGGTTAGTGTTAAACAATTATTTGTTAATAATAAGAAGTACAGATCGGTTTCTATGTATTTTATTTACAAATAAAAACATCATAATATGATATAATATATCTACATATTATGTAGATGTAAAGTAATACTTATACATGCATAAGTTTGGTTTTCTTATCAACAGATTTTATTCTAACATTGAATAATTTTATTCTGCCACTCCACTGCACCTTCATTATTAAAATAAGAAACAAACATTTCACGAACCCGTTTTGGATCTGCCGCTGGATTTCGATTCATACTAGTCATAGTAAGTAAACTAGTAAATGTAGTCATATTTCAAGTTAATCACAGATTATACAGGTTCATCCACGACGACCGTCCATTAGAACTATACGGGGTTCTGGCCACAATAAAAATTTGAAAATTTAGATTTAAATATTACCAATTGCGTTCTCTTCGACTAAAATATTTTTAGATTTCTAGCACTTCCGGTTATACCGGAAGTCGCCACCTACTTTATTTTTTTAAATAGAACACCCTGTATATCTTTACATATTTGGATTTGCCTGCTTTCAAGGTTTATGGATAACTTTACTTTTTGCAATTTGATTCGGTCGTTCTCGAGTTATTCGAATTTTTCTATAAAAAACTGCTCCAGCAGACATTTGTTCAAAAAATCAAAGAACAGATTTTTGGGATATCAATTTATTAATCAGAACATGCTTAAGCAACATGATGGAGAATGTTTTGGTGCCGAGTACGGCTATGTAGAACCTTTAGTCACTTTACTATGGCACGTTAACTTTTCGAAACTTGGAAGTACCATAACTGCAATTTTTTAAATGGCACCCCCCGTATTTTATTACTTTGTCGTCTTCATGTATCATTTTACATCTTGTATATCCCATATGTCCTATATCTAACATTTATAGTTTGGGAGATAATTAGAGTTTTTTGAAAAATGAACACATCAATATTTAACCTAGTGTGCCATGAATTAAGTGCCTAGTGTGACCTAGTGAATAACCAAATGAAGTGGGGGTTTGAAAACTAGCAGCCTTGTGATGTTTGATGCCAGCTTTTTAACTAAAATATTTTCAGGTTCCAGGTACTTGTTTGTTCTTGGTTACACCGGAAGAGGTGACATTTTATTACATTTTTGAAATTTTTTTCAATTTTAGGCCACATTATGTATTCTTATAGTACGTTTAAAAATATTAATGACGTCTTTTTTCTTATTTGCCTCTGACCATCCCCTGCAAAGTTACGGGGTATGATAGATAACCCCTTTCCTTAAGAATAATGTGATAAACTGTTACACTTTTGAACAATATTTTGAAGAAAACCATTAATTAGATGTAAATTAAGATTTACGCAGTAAAATAAACCCTATACGACATTAAGGGGTGGCGGGGGTTAACTACCCTAACCAACCCAAATAAATTTTTCTTGCAAAAATTGTTTGTCAATTTTGGAGCAATTTACCACGCTGATTCTTTTATACGTTAGTACTTTTGTAAGAACTTACAAGGGTTAGAAGTTTGGGGTAGAAAATATATTTTCGCTAATAACTTTCATACTCCTACAGAAAAAGCTTTTTTATCCTTATTCTATTTAAATAACACAAAAGTTAGGATAATTATACAGCGTGC